GAAAGGGCTGGAGGAAGGCAGCATGTCTGGCCTTGCAGTAATAGGCCTTGGTTTACTGCTGGTAATCCTGCCTTCCCCTTGTAGGGTTAGAGGAGGTCAGAACATGTGGCCTCCTTCCTGTTTTTGCAATAGGTTTTAACACAGTTTACAGACTAAGACAGATTAGGAATTAGGAACAGGCCATCCACTTCTCAAAAATTGGCCAGGGTAAAGCTTATGAATAGCAGAGAAACACTGTCTCATACATTACTGGGCAACTTTATGAATAGCTTAGAAACACTGTCCAACACAGTGCAAGAAGACTAGCCCCTTGGGTCAGAAGGCACTCAAAATAGTACTGGGAAAGAGCTGCCTCATCAGAGTAGAGCCAACCTTAACGATATGGATAAAGTGAGTCTTTCAGGACCTCCATGTGCTGACATGGCACAACTCAAATTGAGGAGAAACAGCTGCAAACATCCATTAATAATCGGAATACAGAATGTATGAAGTATGAATCTAGGAAAATTGGAAGTTGTCAAAAATGAAATGGAACGCATAAATATTGACATCTTAGGCATTAGTGAGTTGAAATGGATGGGTTTGGGGAATTTTAAGTCAGACAACCATATGATCTACTATGCCGGGAATGACAAATTGAAGAGGAATGGATAGCATGGCATTCATCATCACAAAGAATGTTTCAAGATCTGTCCCGAAGTACAGTGCTGTCAGTGATAGGACAATATCCATATGCCTACAAGGAAGACCTGTTAATACTACTATTATTCAGATTTATGCAGCAGCCACCAAAGCCAAAGATGAGGAAACTGAAGATTTTTATATCAACTTCTGCAGTCTCAAATTGACTGAACATGCAATCAAGATGTGTTGCTTATCAATGGTGATTGGAATGCAAAAGTTGGAAACAAAGAAGAATCACCAGTAGTTAGAAAATTTGGCCTTGGTGACAGAAATAACTCTGGAGATCACATGATAGAATTTTGCAAGATCAACAATTTATTCATTGCAAATACATTTTTCAACAACACAAACGACAGCTATACACATGGACTTTGCCAGATGGAGTACACAGGAATCAGATTCATACATCTGTGGCAAGAGGAGATGGAAAAGCTCAAGATCTTCAGCCAAAACAAGGCTAGGAGGTGATTGTGGAACAGACCATCAGCTGCTCATATGCAAGTTGAACTTGAAATTGAAGACAATAAAAACAAATCCACAAGAGCCAAAATATGACCTTGACTGTATCTCTCCTGAATTTGGAGACCATCTGAACAATAGTTTTGATGCATTGAACACCAATGACCAAAAACCAAAAGAATTATGGGATGACATCAGGGAATCATCCATGAAGAAAGCAATAGGTCATTAAAATTAGAAGAAAGAAAAGACCAAGATGTCAGAAGAGACTCTGAAACTTGCCCTTGAGCAAATAATTGTGGTTGTTGTTAAGTGTCATCGAGTTGTTTCCGACTCATAGCGACCCCATGAACAGCAGAACGAAACACTGCCCGATCCCGCACCAGCTCCATGATCCCTGCTATACTTGAGCCCATTGTCGCAGCCATCATGTCACTCCATCTCACTGAAGGCCTTCCCCTCTTTCATCAACCCTCCACCAAGCATGGCATCTTTCTCCAGGGAATAGTCCCTTCTGACAACATGGCCAAAGTAGGCAAGATGATGTCTGGCCATTTTCGCTTCCAAGGAGCATTTTGGCTGCACTTCCTCCAGGACAGATCTGTTAGTTCTTTTAGCAGTCCATGGTACTTTCAGCATTCTTCGCCAGCACCACAACTCAAAAGCATCAA